AACCCACCCCTACCCCACATGGCAGCTAAATTAACGAACAGCAGTAGTATAACATTTAAAACAATATCGTATCGAAAAGCACAGATATTGATGGCAATTTGCTTGACAAAAGGAATCATCTCAAACATATATGGAGGCATGCGACCCTGCCATGAGAAAGGAAATGAAGAAAGCCGTCGAGACGCAGGCTTGTCCTTAATTTGAAGTCCCATCAGCAGCCTCAGCCAGCAAGAGCATCCGCCCAACTATGGAGCGTCGGGCTTTCGGTAATAGGTCATAAGCCCTGCGTCGACCATCCTCTATTATTCTGTCGGCGTTTGCACCTGCAAGAAGAAAGGAGACGAAACCCCTCGAAGGCCGCTGCTACGGCAATATGTTGATTCACCTGTGAGGCAGTGAGTACACTCATTCGGTAAGACACTTATATTGTGAGAGCATCAGCACGTGATGACTGAAGACATCGTCATTGGGTTCAGCAATGGTTTCGGATGACCGGAGGCATGCTAGCAGTTATCTAGGCTGTCTGCTTTAAGGTGAAGTGCTCGATAAGGACGCCTTGAATGGAGCACAGTGTGCTATTGCTTAAAATCTCAAGGTAATGTGTCTCCAAACTTATCCTTTGGTTAATCTGCGAATGAGCAGATGTAGACATACAGAGGGTGGAAAATGAACGACGACTCCAAAGGAATCTTCCAAACCAAACCCATATGTGAGTAAGTGTGCGATTGAATGCTTGGGTGAGTAAGAGATGAGGTGAGAGCGCACGTGATTGAATAAGAAGTAGCTCACTCACCGGCATATAAAAGTGTCTTAATCATCTCCACATGACCTGCTTTAGCAGCCTTCATTAGAGGCGTATAGCCGTCTTTGTCAAACTCATCCAAATTCGCTCCATATTTGATGAGCAGTTTGGCGACTTCCACACTGCCTGCACGAACAGCCGAGTGAAGCGGCGACAGAATAGTCTCATCGGCAAAGTTAGCGCAAGCTCCGTAATCCAGCAACTTCTGAACTACTTGCACGAATTTGCCAGCTGCGGCGTCTGCAAGTGCTGCGTACAACTCTCTGCTGCTATCCTCCATGGGGTTGGTGCCATGCAGCAGAAGGCTCACCAAACGCATTTTACCCTGTTCATTTCCCAAAGGAATGTCAAAATGTGATTATGTGCTTAAGGGCAAGTCGGGCAAAATCATGCCAAGGTAGCAAACATGCCGGTGCATTTCTCATATTACAGGAACATATACACACGGAGGCAGAGAAACACACCTTAGAGGAGGCGATGGTGAGAGCATTCTTATTCCACTGATTCAGCTTGGAGCAACACGAAGCACCGTGCTCGAGGAGAATTCGCACCATTTTAACGTTTAATTCAGCAGTAGCCTCCATCAGAGGAGTGTTGCCACTGTTGTTGACGACTTCTGTAGGGCTGTTGTGATTCAGCAGAATCTTGGCACATTTCCTGTGGCTAAGAATAGCCGCCCAATGCAGCGCGGTGTTGTTGCCTACATCCACCCTATCGGCATTTGCACCGTTGTCGAGAAGGAGCTTTACCAACCTCGAGAATCCGTGCTTAGAGGCCTCGATGAGAGGCGCTGTGGTCTCATTGTTCTCAAACACATTGGGGTCAGCCTACCAATGAATAGAGAGGAGAGTGTGGTTAGCGCTCACGAAGAACAGAACAGGTCAATGACAGCACCTAATAACCGCACATCATTAAACTCCCACTACTAATAACCTTTCAATGATGCTGCTGCGCCTTCCACGGCCTTTAGTGAATGATCATGGGCCGACACCCTAGAATACAATGGTGCAAGCAATAGTAAGGTCATCGAAATGACTAAATTGATAGCAACAATTTATCACATGACTTCAGTCAGGCAGGCAGTGAGTCAACCAACTTGATTCCTCTTTTCCCAAATCTGTTTTTCAGCTCTATTTGGTGATACAAACTTAAAGAGCACAGAGGAGTGAAACTTACGCCTAAATTTAGAAAGCGATTCACAGCTTCCACGTTATTGTGCCTCACCGCCTCCCACATAGTCCTCGGGGCCATCAGTGTATCCTCGTCCTGCTGCCTCCACGTCGATCCATTACCCTGCAACAGTGAGTTGCGTCGCATCATCCAACCCTCCGATTAAGCAATGTATCAACTACGCCATTAATAGAGGAAAGAAACTAGGCGAATCTTCACGATACCCCCTTTCTTCTCCCCAAACATGGAAAAAAGGCTCATGCAGTCAAGAGGTGCTGGCAACCTACCAAGGAGCCACTCATCCTAATTCCAGCGTACGTACGAGGTAAATGTCCTCACTGACCTAACCGACCTAACCGAGCCTGCTGAGCTGTTATCTGACCACTGATTATCCACCGAAGAGGGACCAAATTCACCCAAAACATGGCAAATCGTGCTCGCCAGAGATCAGTCCTGCTCAAATTCACCACGAGTTTGACTCATTGCATCCATTGCTGAGGGTGAACCTCTAAAATATAAACGCTCAAGAGTATGGAGGTGGTGTTATCGCCCTCGAGTACACCCCAATATAGCCGAAGATGATGATCAAATATTGGGCTTGCATCCCCATACATTTGACAAATCACGCATATTAGGGGCTGAGAAGAAGTAGTCAGTCGAGCTGAACAGGAATGATTGAAGTAATGAAGGCAAAGAGGACAGTTTTTGCAGCTTAACTACTGAGGAAAATGGGTGTGAAATCCATATAAGGGAGAGAGGGTTAAGAAGAGAAGTCGAAACGCCTTGCTTAACCATCTTGACGCCAGGACTACCTTTATATTCTCCTTCCCTATCTAGCGCTTCGTTCCCTACTCTCTGCCCCATCTCATCTGTAATGAAATAGAAGGACGTAGATTAGAAAGAGGAGTAGAAAGGTAAGGCTGTGGCACTACCCCTCTACCTTCCCGTCCTAACTTGCAAGTCTTCTCTTAGCCATGCTGATCCTAAATTTAATGTCTCCGTTGTTCCAAAAGAAGGAGCCCCATCTGGTTTTCCTCAAAGAGTTTCTCTCTCTCTCAAGAGTAATTTCTATCATATCGGGTAGACAGATTTCACTGCAGTAATTTAAATAAATAAATTTAGACTCAATAGGAGGATAAAATGCTCCTTGCCTTTGAAGTGTGGTTTAGTGGAGCAGAGAGTGGACCTATTAGTGATGAACGGTGACACTTCCTTTTGACAGCCTTTCGGGCTTATGGGTGCGATGCAGGTTTCCGTTGATATGAACGCAAGACTACTGCTACACTCTCCCCTAACTGTGCAACGCTGAATGATCTGGCTGTGTGGATCTAAGGCGGAACGCCATCGTGACAGAGGTAACGAAGATCCTTCTTAGCGCGTCCGCTTCGTCCCTCCAACCGCCGAGTCAGGGTACATTACGCACCGCATGTCGAGACCTCCACAGATAGTAGGAATGGGAGAGGTAACTGTTCTGGTGGAGATTCATTAGTGCATTCAAACAGGTAATAACTGATTCTTCATGAGCCACCCTTGATTTTCTGATAACCCTCAGACATACACTTCACAAGAGATGAAGTAGCTTGGATGCAACAGAAGAGTGTGTTCATTTTCCTTGCCGCAGGTGGGGTGATCAATCAAGGTCACATAAGGGCATATCAAGTCTCAGTTTATCTCTCAAAACAATGTCGACTACAGCGATACATTACCCCATTGAAAGCAGAGGTCTAGAACTAAGCAAAACAAAGTAACGCTGTGCTTATTTCTTAACAAAAAACGTAGAACTCAGGTGAAGATCCCATCTTCAAGTATTTTGATTGACCTTCGTCTTCTACACATCAAGTGCCTCCACTTAATAGTGACTGAGGCAGAAGAGGACGAGTAAGTGGAGTTTAACGAGAGTACTACCAGTAAAAGGTCTCCCGAACGTTTGCCAAAGGGAGAAAATTGTGGTATAAGTGTGAGGAAAGGCAAAATGGCTTTAACGCAGAGGACCCAGGGTAATATTAGCCCCAAAATATTTTAACTGTTTGTTTAAAAATGGCTATCCGAGGACGAAGGCGTTGTTGCTAATGTACAAATTTAAACTATCGAAAATAAGAAATCACTGAGTGCTTATCGTGTTGGAAGACGGGACCAACAACATGCATTTTGACTGGAAGACGATTTTCACTGGCAAAGGACACATTTTTGAAAGTGATTCATCTATTAGGATTTACAAATTTGGGGGTAAACGAGGGGAATGACACTGATTACTTCATAAGGGATTCAAACAAATAGGAGAAGTGCTTATAGGAGGGACAAATTTTAACAACAAAATTGGCATCTTGATGCTGTGCTTTGTTTGGTGGGAAATTCGCATCACTTGTGGTCATGCCCTTGGTGGTGCTGAAAGCGTTCTCCTGACATGAATATATAGCCACAGATGTAGCAGCCACACATCTCCACTTCTAAAATAGAAGAGAAAGACCAGTGAAGAAGACATTTGTAGTTATGTAAAAATTGAAAAATTGAAATGTTTGGTCTTTTTGATTGACAACCTAAGCTGTCAGAGCAAAGGCTTTGAATAAATTTTAAAATTACTTGGTGCTAATGATGACATTGGTGTGATGGAACTGAAAAGCTTTCGGTGGGAAAAAGGCGAAATAGATGTAAAAAAGAAGCGTAGTCTCGCCTTCACATCTTACCACTGGAAAGAACTGGGTGATGGCTCACTCTTGTGCAT